TTTGAATATTTCTATAATTATAATTATAATAATAATTATTATAGTTATTAAAATTGTAATTAAAAATATAATTTAAATAAAATTATAATTATAATCCTAACTATAATAATAATAATAATAATTAAAATTAAATTTAAAATGAAAAAAGTTATACCTATTACACTAATTATAAATAGAGATACAATTATAATTGTAATTATATTTTTAATTATAATTAATTATGTAATTATAATTGTAATTATAATTACAATATTTATCTCTATAATTGTAACTATAGTTATCAATATTATTATAATTAATCCGTAAAATAATTACAATAGTAATAATAATATTATTAATAATAATTATAATAAAAATAATAATTATAATCATAATTTAGAATTATAATATAATTATAAGTATAATTATATTAACAGTAATTATAATATTATAATATAATAATAGTAATATAAATACAATTAATATTATTATAAAGATATTATTATATTAATATTATTATTACAATAATATAATAATAATATGATTATTGTTATTATAATAAGTATTATATTATATTATTATAATATTATATTATAATTATATTTATAATCAAAATTGTAATTATGATTGTAATTATAAATATAATTATTATTATAATTAATTATAATTGTAATTATGATTGTAATTATAAATATAATTATTATTATAATTAATTATAATTATAATTAATTATACTTATAATTATAATAATTATAATTGATTATACTTATAATTATAAGAATTATAATATAATATTATAATAATATTAATCATATTATTATAATTATTATATTGTAATAATAATAATAATAATAATAATAATAATAATAATAATAATAATAATAATAATAATAATAATAATAATAATAATAATAATAATAATAATAATAATAATAATAATAATAATAATAATAATAATAATAATAATAATAATAATAATAATAATAATAATAATAATAATAATAATAATAATAATAATAATAATAATAATAATAATAATAATAATAATAATAATAATAATAATAATAATAATAATAATAATAATAATAATAATAATAATAATAATAATAATAATAATAATAATAATAATAATAATAATAATAATAATAATAATAATAATAATAATAATAATAATAATAATAATAATAATAATAATAATAATAATAATAATAATAATAATAATAATAATAATAATAATAATAATAATAATAATAATAATAATAATAATAATAATAATAATAATAATAATAATAATAATAATAATAATAATAATAATAATAATAATAATAATAATAATAATAATAATAATAATAATAATAATAATAATAATAATAATAATAATAATAATAATAATAATAATAAAAGTGAAAACTTTTCTGATCTGATCTGATCTGATCTGATCTGAATGTTTCTGATCTGATCTGAATGTTTCTGATCTGGTCTGATCTGATCTGAATCTTTCTGATCTGAATCTTTCTGATCTGATCTGAATCTTTCTGATCTGATCTGATCTGAATCTTTCTGATCTGATCTGATCTGAATAAAATAAGAATAAGCAATAAGTAATAAGAATAAGACGAACAGAACAGCACCGTAGGCCCAAATGGGCCGAAATGGGCTGGGATGGCCTAATTGAGCTTCGCTGACTGGCTTCATACCGGGGTGATGTCTTGGGCCTCTTGAAAATTAATAGGCCGGGGTAATATACCCAACACAAGTCCCCCAGTTTCTTGAGTAGTGAGCATGTGAATCTGCTCGAGAAAGTATACTTTTGCTCACGTCCTTCATTGTCTTCCCTGAATCAGTGTCTTTGAACAGTCTTGGGCGCACGGCATGCATAAGCCATAAGTGAGGTGCAATCCCGCACTAGGCACGACGGCGCTGTAGAGCCAGCCACTCGTGCTGCATAAAAGTGGCGGTCGCCATCCCAGATCAAGGATGGATGAGCCCGACTGAGAGCCAGGCACGACGGTGCTGTGGAGCCCGTGCATGCTGCATAAGAGCGACGGTCGCCATCCTTGATCAAGGATGGACGAGCCCGATCGAGAACCAGGCATGACGGAGCTGTGGAGCCTGTGCGTGCTGCATAAAAGCGGTAGTCGCCATCCCAGATCAAGGATGGACGAGCTCGACCGAGATCCAGGCACGACGGAGCTGTGGAGCCCGTGCGTGCTGCATAAAAGCGGCGATCGCCATCCCAGACCAAGGATGGACGAGCCCGACCAAGATCCAGGCACGACGGAGCTGTGGAGCCCGTGCGTGCTGCATAAAAACGGCGATCGCCATCCCAGACCAAGGATGGACGAGCCCGACCGAGATCCAGGCACGACGGAGCTGTGGAGCCCGTGCGTGCTGCATAAGAGCGACGGTCGCCATCCTTGATCAAGGATGGACGAGCCCGACCGAGATCCAGGCACGACGGAGCTGTGGAGCCCGTGCGTGCTGCATAAAAGTGGCGGTCGCCATCCCAGATCAAGGATGGACGAGCCCGACCGAGATCCAGGCACGACAGAGCTGTGGAGCCCGCGCGTGCTGCATAAAAGCGGCGGTCGCCATCCCAGATCAAGGATGGACGAGCCCGACCGAGATCCAGGCACGACGGAGCTGTGGAGCTCGTGCGTGCTGCATAAAAGCGGCGATCTCCATCCCAGATCAAGGATGGACGAGCCCGACCGAGATCTAGGCACGACGGAGCTGTGGAGCCCGTGCGTGCTGTATGAAATGATCGAGGGAAGAATGTTAGCTTTAATTCCCCAGCTCAAACCGAACCAGCCGAGATCACCTGTCCGGTCTGATTTGGACGGATCACTCTAACTAATTGGTCAGGGATGGCTACCACACTCAACGAGCCGTCATGACATTTGGGTAGCCCAAATGTGTATGCCACGTACGGGTGAACACGGTCGTAGAACCCCCCTATCCTTTGGACGGGGTGCTCCACGGACTCTATCAGACATGGACCCGTCGGTCCAGGACCACTGCGGGCCACCATTTGTTTACATCACCTCCAAGTCAGTTTGTGTCCCCCGTTCGCTCGCCTTCGGCGAACAGGTCGTTCTCCCCCTTGCTGAAATGAGACTCGGCCCAATTCATAGTTCCATTCGCCCGTTCTTCCCACTAGAACGGTCCGATGAATCTATGAACAAGTGAGATTTTGACCAAGTTCTGAATGCAATCCGTCCGGTTTTTCCGATCCGGATCATCCATACTAATGGTCTACCCTTCGCCTTCAAACCACAGTTTTAATGCCCCGTTCGGTTTTTCCGATACGGTTCATTCATACCTATGGTTGAGGCGACAATCGAGGAGCCCTGATCTCCTTTTCTCTCATTTTCTCTCTGGGTTTTCCAGATGGAATCTGCATCCACCTCTTATACATCCTCTTCTTCTTTTTATGTATGTATACAAATACAGGGACTCACAATGATGATCACGTCGTGCCGAGGTGGCCGAGCGTAGAGCTATAGAAGCGGTCCGATCATCCAGATAGTAGGTCTTTCTCCGTGGAGCGTGAAGATGCCACTAAAATAGTAAACATGTCGTGCCGAGAGGTCGATCATGATATGGGGACAAACAACGGCAACTGCGGCAGCCGGTCAATGAAATATGGTTATGCTGTAAAGATGTCGGTACTAAGTCACTGATCCGAAAGCTCGAACAACGATCTTCATCCGCGGGGAGCGGGGATGAAGCTAGTCTTCAAAATATGCTGATGGCCCCGTACCAGGGGGTCGACGGCAATATAAAGATGTCGGCGTTGAGGGCCGATCGGAAAGAATCAAGCAACGGTCCTCATCCGCGAGGAGCAAGGACGAGGCCGGTCTTCAAATGTGGAAAACACGTCGAACCAGGAGGCCGATCGTGATATAACAATATCGGCAACGAGAGGCCGATCTGAGATAACAAGCAATGGTCCTCATCCACGAGGAGCAAGGATGAGGCCGATCTTCAGATATGGGAAGCACACCGAGCCGTGAGGCCGGTCGTGACATAATGATGTCGGCGATGAGAGGCCGATCTGAGATAGCAAGCAACGGTCCTCACCCGCGAGGAGCAAGGATGAGGCCGGTCTTCAAATATGGGAAGCACACCGAGCCGTGAGGCCGGTCCTGACATAATGGTGTCGGCAATGAGAGGCCGATCTGAGAGAGCAAACAACAGTCCTCATCCGCGAGGAGCAAGGATGAGGTCGGTCTTCAAATATGGAAAACACACCGAGCCGTGATGCCGGTCGTGATGTAATGGTGTCGGCAATGAGAGGCCGATCAAGAGTATCCATACAACGGATCTCATCCGCGCACCTCAGGGATGATACCGGTCTTCAAAATGCTCACCATGCCGAGCCAGGCGGGTCGGTCGAGGTGAGAGAAAAGTCGGCGCTGGGAGGCCGATCTAGAAATCCAAGGGTCTTAAAGGCGCCCTCTGCCCATGGTACTTGCTCTAGGTGCCGAACGGAGGAGGCTAGATTGGCAGTCATGGAGCGTGACCTGAAAGCTCGTGCATCGTACAGCCCATAGGGCTTCCCTCCCTGTGTTGTGATATCTATACATTTGTAGTCTCTTCTTTTCTTGATCGGCCATGATTCCTTCTATACACTCATTTTTTTTGCCAAATCATGAATATCTCTGTGTTTCACAATCTCCCCGTCCGAGCGGGTCGAACGGCTCTAAATGTAATTATTCCTTACTTTTGTTGCCAATCATGAGCGTCTCTGCGCTTCATGCTGAATCGTCATGAACATCCATGTGCTCCAGAACATCGAACGACTGTGAATGAATGTGGTTATTTGCCCGTTTCCAGTCATGAACGTCTACGCGCTTCACGCCGAATCGTCATGAACATCTCTGTTGGTCCCATTTAAGTGGGTAACAGTCTAAGGGGGGGGGGGGGGGGGGGGGGGGTGAATAGACTGTTAAGGTTTTCAAATTTTATCTGTAACGCCACTCTCAGGGTTAAAGGAAACGTTACACTAACTTACTACTTTTAAAAATAAACGCAATATAATGGCCATCTATTTAAGAAATTAACCCTGATAAAATCTCAAACATAAACTAAAATATAGCACCAAATAAAAACTCAATAAAACCTAGTTATCACCAGCAAATGTGATAACCACCTGGATCCAGGAATTTACTGAACTTCAAATCCTCAATTAAAAATAAAGTAATATTTATCACTTTATTATGACACTGAAATACTGAAACAAAATAATATCTAGCTAGAAGCCGCCAAGGTCATTCCCGTTAACTCATCTTGGCACGCGTTCCACTCTCTCATCATCTTCCTCGGCCTGAGCCTTACCCTTAGCTTTAGTATCTGTACATGCGAAGAAAGAAAACTGATAAGCTTTACGCTTAGTAAGTCACTATGGATCCACAAAAATATGTAGAAGTCTATGCCAATTTATCAATGGATAAATTTAGGCTATAAGCATGCACTGAACAAATAACTAACACACAACTTTTCAAATACATTTGATGGAGATCTCAAAACGAAAATATTTTCTAAAATAATTTCTCAAAACTGCTGGAGAGATCTCAAAAACGTCTTTCTGTAAAACTTTCTGAAAGAGATCTCAAAAACGTCTTCCTGAAAAAGATTTCATTATACTTTCTGTACAACTCTTTGTGGCTAATTTTAACTGTGGGCCCGTGATATGTACTCAAAGGCGCCAATCCGACAGCTCAGGGGAGCGACCCACTAAACATACCGGACTATCTGAAACTGATAAACTGATAAACTGAGGGAGCTTGTTTCCGTGTACATATCACCTGATCTTTCTCTTTAAATATTAGTTCTTTTTACGGTGACATTTGACTAAAAACATCATTAAACCTGAAAACAAAAGTACTGACAAATCTTGACTATGCCAGATAATAAACATAACTTAATCCAGCAAATAAAATAAGTCATCACATAATTCACCGAGTTCACATCATAGCAAATAGTCTAAAATTATCTATTAAAAATCAACCAGACTTCTTTCTTGCATTTGGTTGAACAAACATGTATAGGTGGTAGTGAACTTACCTGATAAAAGCTGAACTCAAAATACCCGATTTAGTGTGGCGCCTTGATAACGTCTTCCGATAAGCCCTTCACTTAAATCTTTATTTAGAATAGTCAAAATTTAGAATTCTTATCTAATGAGCCAGATAGCTAAAACTTTAAATTCAATTCCTACGGTTAAAAGCACAAACGATATCTCCCAGTTAACTTTAAAACACACTTCAGATTTTTATAATACCATCATGCCGCAGTTCGTAACCCCTTCAAAATTAAAACTAGCATAGAAGTCAGTTCTCTCAATATGAAAACTGCTGTTGTAACTTATAAACAATAACTTCGAATGAATATTAAAATTTTTTTAAATTTTGAAATCTGTTTGCAGCACACTTAAAATCCAGATTATTCTTTACTAACCCCAAAGCTGTAGAACCTGCCCTCAAAATAAGATACACACAAGCATCATAGGTTTTCAATATGACGGCAACAAAATCAAATCAATCTTAGGTAAAAGGTTGTTCTTAGGATAATTTTTCAAGCAGGAAAATTTTACTAAAAGAAACTCTCACTAAAAGAAGAAGCCCCAATCTAATAAACACATCTTACTAACTACTCAAAAATCAATTTTGAGCACAGACCCGTAGCAAAGAATTCAAACTCTCACCATAATAATAATAATTGATCCGAATTTAATATAATAATAATCAATAGAGAAACTCCTTAGGAAAATACACCCTTTACCAAAATAACAAATCGGTTCAGGAAGACTTATATGACACCTACCCCACTGCAGCAGCAGAAACTTGCTCAATCTAAAAGAATTATGTTGCTAGCAATCTCTTAAAGTAGGTGGAAACAAGAAATAGCAGTAGGGAAACTTTTGAATTTTACACCAAGAGGTAAAACAATTAACCCCAAAACTAGTAGGATTACAAGATCTAATGGTGTTCTCACGGTAGCAAATAAAACATATAGAGGACTCAGAAGCTTACCGGGCAAGATGGTGATCTGTAACTCGAATAGAAGTTCTTGATTGAATTTAGGGAGAAGTACTTTGAGAGGAAGAGAAAAAAAATGATTGCTGCTACGGGAAGAAATATTGACGTATGTGGGAAATTTTAGGGCTTAACATATACAAACCTACACACGAATACTCCTAAAGGGCTTTTAAATAAAAACAATAATAAGAATACTTATCTGACCCAATTAACCGATCTGGGTAGCTGATTATCTCTTAAAAAATTTAACATTAAAAGTATTTTCTATTTCAAAATAAACTGATTAAGCTTTAATTTATTACTTGCCAGAACAACACATGATCAAACAATAAATCACATCATTCATAAAATATCTTATTTAACTGACTAAATAAAATAAAAGATTAATATAACTAGCTCATAAAAATTGGGGTGTTACAACCCCTCTCACCTTATAAAAGTTTCGTCCTCGAAACTTAGAACAACTTGGGATAACGACGTTCCCATAATATTTCTTTTCTGACTTCTCACATTGTTTTAGTGCAACTATAACAGCTTAGTACTCCGTATCTTTTACAAGGTTACTTCTTTATTTTCGGAGCATGTAACTTTAAATTCTAAAAATGCACTGATTTTTCTTCTAATTACCAGGCTGGTGGTACTAGTAGTTTTGGGGATTGATACAACTACTTTATATAATGACCTACACCAATATCTCAACAACTCTATGATAATTGACCTTAGTAAGATTTTTTTTTTTGCATGTTTTCTCTTGAAACACCAAAGCACAAAAACACAATCTCACAACAGTCTTTAAAATCACCTTCTACCAGTATGCTTAAATAGGTTAAACTTGTAGAAAATTTAAGAATATAACTCTGTCATTTTTTAAGAATCTAGCATTACAATATAAAAAAAATGTTTCATTCTCTGTCATTTTTTAAGAGAGCATCCTTACAATTTGTTTACGATGTGGGGGAGGATGAGGATTTCTCATTCACCATTTTATTGATTCTATCAAACAAATTGCTTTATTTACGTTAAATTCACTTTATTCTACGTAGTACTAGCCATCGCACAACTTGTTCATGATATCAGTATTATGAAACTTTAATGATGGTTAAACTCAGTAATCATACTAACATAGTATTATTTATTTACTGTTGGATCCTTGAGATATTTTTTTTTGCTTCTTGTGCGTTAAAAAGTACTCACATCGAGCACATCTTTTATAATTTCAGGAAAGAAAAAAAATCATTCATTTTCTGTGTTACACTTGTACTATTTGCAATCAAGGTGGCTCTCCACATAAAAATATTTGCTAAAGCATAACAGGAAATCTTCATTTGTTTTAATAACCCACCGTAATCTGACTTATCTATTATACCAAAAGAAATTCTTTTTTTTAAAAGTCTAAAATATATTAAACTACTAAACTTATTTTTTTACCACTCAAGCATCTCAAAATTACATTTTCCTCAAAAGAAAACTTTCTTATGGTTCTATACCTCTGGAACCCAAAACTATATCTTAACTCATCAGTATACTGAAATAGTCATGAAGCTAACTATAGTTTCCTATTAGATCTTGTTTTTCTTCTAAGTTGCAACTTTAAACATTTATAATACAGTGAGCATCTGACTTCTCCAAACTTTGAACACAATTTACTTTTTGAGATTTATACCCTCCCTGCCTGGAGTATACTCTTTTTGGATAGGTGATGTTAAAAGTACATATTCTAGGGTTCTCACAAGAAAACTAACGTGGGTTATTAACAAATTGAACTTATGGTTCTGATTAGTTTCAGAAGTTCATGATATATATTAAATATTGTTTTACAAAACCAACTTAACTTCACCAAATCACATAAAAGTTTGAGCCAAAATATTATCTTGAATTAGTCTGTGCGGGGAGATACAGTGAACTATCTCAACTGTAGAGCTTCTCAATCCTTCAATCTAACTATATGCTAAATGATTCTAAATCTCTGTCCACTTGCTTGTTATAGCATTGGAAAAAAAAATTAAGCTGACTCTGTCATGTTAAAATCTATTTCTTATCCAATTGTACATTACTCAAAGTATAAATTTACGCGAGATAGGAGTTACCCACATTTTGTTTTGTTATTAAGTTGTGATGTATACATCTATAAATTCATTAACATATCTACACTATAAATATCCCTCATTTGTTAGGAATCTGCACTATGTGAGTGTGGGAGAGAGAGACAAGTAAGAGCATAGACTTTGTGCTAAAAATTAAAGAGTGTACGACTCTCCTAAAAGTAAGGTGGAATGGAATTTCAAGTCTACCGGTTACAAAATAATACCCCTTCAATGAAAAGCACAATATCGCTTTCATATTTGAAGTATGAGAAGAAGAAGCAAAGGCAAAGAATTCTTTATGATATAGAGTTTAATTATTATACCCTTAACAGACTTACAAAAAACTAATTACTTGAAGGAGGAAAAGAGTTATTTCAGAATACTTCACTCTATCAAAGCATAGGGAAACCCTTGTGATCTTTTTGCAAAGGACACTAGTATATACAGATAAGACTCTCTTGTTTTGATCATATTCTAGGCAAGACTTTATTCATACTATTTTACTCAATCAACAGTGATATAGTACAACTTGCCAAACTTTTGGGGATTTAACCTTTGAGTTGTTGATGACTCTAACAAAAGAAAAGTTTGTTGTGTCAAACTCTCTTTATTCTCACCAAGACTTCTACTATTCAAAGAGCATGCTAGTTCCCGACACAAGCTCAAAGAATGATGTCTACATATACTCGTATGTAAATGCTAAAAGGAGCTTGTTGGTACATTATCCTATATGCTATTGAAAGCCTCATTCTCTAGATCTTAATGTATTGACACACACTTGACATATCCCTATATCGTGTGCATGAGATCATAAGACTCATGATTTACCAGAGACTAGTTTGATCTAATCCTTCCACTCATCTCTTCTAATCTAACTTTTAAGAACCCGTTTCATTAAAAACTTTTGAAACACGTAGATAGGCTTTATTGGCAGGTCATGGTAAGGATGTTTAAGTGATGACACCCAATCTATTTTGGTAACCAACGGGAAAAAACTCATATGACGACTACCGTAGTAAAAAAAATGTACAAACACCGTTTTAATCGCATTGCCAAGGCTGAAAATGTTTTAAAAAAAATTCTTAAAGGCATTTCAAAATTCAACTTTCTTCTAAACACACTTTAAAACTTATTTTAAAAATAATATGCATTTGCAACTTGAAAGACCACATACTTTTGAATAATATGATCGATAAAACGGTGTTTGACTACCGGTATCTAATATTGGAATCCACAAATTGATGAGGGGCCCTCCCAACAACTTAAGATTCCAAACACGAAATACCGACACTCAACACGCTAGAAAAATCATGCAGCTTATGATACCTTTAATAAATCATTTGAAACTACTAATTAAGTTTCTGAAACCAAAATGAAGCTTCAATATTTTACACACACAAAAATTAAGCTATAACTTATAACTCTTTTAAATAATAAGATAATGTAAAAAGCATGAGCATTTTTTTTTTATGATTTTTCAATAAATAAATAAATAAATACATAACAAACTTATTTGTATGCTTATGAAAATTCTTCATCTCATGTAGATTCACTTACATGTGATGCTTTAGAAAATATCAGACAAATTCATTATTATTTTTCTAAAAAAATAACTAACAAGATTCATTATTATTCTTCTAGAAAAATATCAGATTAACTCATTATTATTCTTCAAAAAAAAAACCAGCTAATGACATTTTGTATTTTTTAAACTCGTATTTTAATCATTAGTAACCTCTATGATGAGAAACACTTGCTATGGAAGACCAACAAGGCTAAAATGGAAGGCTACGAATACGTAATTACGAGAGGCATATTACCCAGAACGATTATGTTTGTAAACAACAACCATAAGTACTTCCTAAATGAAATATAAGACCTAACTCAAGAATTATAGGTACTCGAAGAAAATTTAATCTGAATAACTCGTAATAACACAAGGTTTTACGAGTTGAGTACATACTACTTTTTCTGGACTTTTCATCTAACTAATGCCAACAACATTCACATATTTTCACATAGATAACTTTTAGCATGAATTAGTACTTACTTGGAAGATGACGAGCACGTGTACGGTGACAAATGAAGTTACCGGACAACCTGGGCTCTGATACCAAATTTGTAACGCCCCTCTCAGGGTTAAAGAAAACGTTACACTAACTTACTACTTTTAAAAATAAATGCAATATAATGGCCATCTATTTAAGAAATTAACCCTGATAAAATCTCAAATATAAACTAAAATATAGCTCCAAATAAAAACTCAATAAAACCTGGTTATCACCAGCAAATGTGATAACCACCTGGATCTAGGAATTTACTGAACTTCAAATTCTCAATTAAAAATAAAGTAATATTTATCACTTTATTATGACACAGAAATACTGAAACAAAATAATATCTAGCTAGAAGCCGCCAAGGTCATTCCCGTTAACTCATCTTGGCACGCGTTCCACTCTCGCATCATCTTCCTCGGCCTAAGCCTTACCCTTAGCTTTAGTATCTGTACATGCGAAGAAAGAAAACTGATAAGCTTTACGCTTAGTAAGTCACTATGGATCCACAAAAATATGTAGAAGTCTATGCCAATTTATCAATAGATAAATTTAGGCTATAAGCATGCACTGAACAAATAACTAACACACAACTTCTCAAATACATCTGATGGAGATCTCAAAAGGAAAATATTTTCTAAAATAATTTCTCAAAACTGCTGGAGAGAGATCTCAAAATTTCGTCTCAAAACATCTCTGTAAAACTTTCTGAAAGAGATCTCAAAATTGTCTTTCTGTAAAACTTTCTGAAAGAGATCTCAAAAACGTCTTCCTCAAAAAGATTTCATTATACTTTCTGTACAACTCTTTGTGACTAATTTTAACTGTGGGCCCGTGATATGTACTCAAAGGCGCCAATCCGACAGCTCAGGGGAGCGACCCACTAAACATACCGGACTATCTGAAACTGATAAACTGATAAACTGAGGGAACTTGTTCCCGAGTACATATCACCTGATCTTTCTCTTTAAATATTAGTTCTTTTTACGGTGACATTTGACTAAAAACATCATTAAACCTGAAAACAAAAGTACTGACAAATCTTGACTATGCCAGATAATAAACATAACTTAATCCAGCAAATAAAATAACTCATCACATAATTCACCGAGTTCACATCATAGCAAATAGTCTAAAATTATCTATTAAAAATCAACCAGACTTCTTTCTTGCATTTGGTTGAACAAACATGTATAGGTGGTAGTGAACTTACCTGATAAAAGCTGAACTCAAAATACCCGATTTAGTGTGGCGCCTTGATAACGTCTTCCGATAAGCCCTTCACTTAAATCTTTATTTAGAATAGTCAAAATTTAGAATTCTTATCTAATGAGCCAGATAGCTAAAACTTTAAATTCAATTCCTACGGTTAAAAGCACAAACGATATCTCCCAGTTAACTTTAAAACACACTTCAGATTTTTATAATACCATCATGCCGCAATTCGTAACCCCTTCAAAATTAAAACTAGCATAGAAGTCAGTTCTCTCAATATGAAAACTGCTGTTGTAACTTATAAACAATAACTTCGAATGAATATTAAAATTTTTTTAAATTTTGAAATCTGTTTGCAGCACACTTAAAATCCAGATTATTCTTTACTAACCCCAAAGCTGTAGAACCTGCCCTCAAAATAAGATACACACAAGCATCATAGGTTTTCAATATGATGGCAACAAAATCAAATCAATCTTAGGTAAAAGGTTGTTCATAGGATAATTTTTCAAGCAGGAAAATTTTACTAAAAGAAACTCTCACTAAAAGAAGAAGCCCCAATCTAATAAACACATCTTACTAACTACTCAAAAATCAATTTTGAGCACAGACCCGTAGCAAAGAATTCAAACTCTCACCATAATAATAATTTATCCGAATTTAATATAATAATAATCAATAGAGAAACTCCTTAGGAAAATACACCCTTTACCAAAATAACAAATCGGTTCAGGAAGACTTTTATGACACCAACCCCACTGCAGCAGCAGAAACTTGCTCAATCTAAAAGAATTATGTTGCTAGCAATCTCTTAAAGTAGGTGGAAACAAGACATAGCAGTAGGGAAACTTTTGAATTTTACACCAAGAGGTAAAACAATTAACCCCAAAACTAGTAGGATTACAAGATCTAATGGTGTTCTCACGGCAACAAATAAAACATATAGAACTCAGAAGCTTACCGGGCAAGATGGTGATCTGTAACTCGAATAGAAGTTCTTGATTGAATTTAGGGAGAAGTACTTTGAGAGGAAGAGAAAAAAAAGGACTGCTGCTACGGGAAGAAATATTGACGTATGTGGGAAATTTTAGGGCTTAACATATATAAACCTACACACGAATACTCCTAAAGGGCTTTTAAAAACAATAATAAGAATACTTATCTGACCCAATTAACCGATCTGGGTAGCTGATTATCTCTTAAAAAATTTAACATTAAAAGTATTTTCTATTTCAAAATAAACTCATCAAGGGAAACCTTGGTGGCTGGTACCCATTATCCACCTGGTAGTCATAGTAAACAGCTGTATGATTCACATTGGGCAGATGCTTGTGAGGTTCATGCTTCCTGTTTACATATTTCTGCATAGCCTTCTTGGTTGGAAAGAAGTCCCACATATTATGAAGAGCAGAGGAACGGTTAACCTTGGGCTTCTGAGGTTGACCAGACAACCTCTTCTGCCTATAGTTAACTCCCTTGTGTTTTAATTAATCATGCACAGAACCCTTTTATTTGCATAAATTTAACGATTTGAAAATAACTTTTTCTTGATATTTTGATTGAATATACAAGTAAATATGTCAAAATCTCTGAATCATACAAAAATGTTAATCATTTTTCTTTTATTTGACGATTGAAATTGTTTACAAAAGAGATTTTGCGCATAACTAATTAAAACACAGGAGGATTTGACGCATTTTTTAAATCACAGGGGGCCAAAACGCTGAATTTTCATATCACATGGGTTTGGTGCATTAAACCCCTTGCAGTTCATCAATATCTTTCTTCTCTTTAGCCAAAAAAAAAAGATACTCCGTATCTTTCTTCTCTACCTCGCTAGTCATCCGTTCTTTTCTGTTCTAGCAATGTCGTACAACATTCCTCTTATCGCTTCACTACCAAGTTCTTTGGATTCCAAGATAAGGATCATTGGGGATCCAACAGTCCTACTCTTCCATGAAGGTGTAACAACTTTCCAATGCAATAGTGACCAATTTGGTCAAGTAACAGTCAAAGCGACCCCAACTTGCTATTCACTAAACTTGAGGGCTTCGTTTCTGTTTACTAAGAACTCATTGTGTGGATTACCAAATATCCTCAAGCCACTTCTTATCCATAAAGAGCAATGGATAAGCTATTTCGTGTATGAAGGTTATGAAGAACTTTTCTGCGAGAACCACATGACCAAATTTTTCATAAAGTAAGTATTGTGATATTTCGTGCTATTAATTAGACCTATAATTTTATAAAATGTTACGAGCTGAGCTGTGGTTTGTAGGAGTATTGTGATATTTTATAAAATGTTAAGTATTTTATATAAAAAAAAATCGGCTTTTTTTTTTACTATTTTTTAGGGAACTGATAGAGGCTGTGGTTTCTGTTCAAAGCATTGTTGGTAGCCATGGAGGGTTACATAAAAGACAAAATTTTGTCATTTGCAACGGACATTTGAAACTTGATGGTGCATTTGGGAGTCACAATTCTTCATCTCTGAGGAAGGATATTGAAGATTTAGGACAACTTCTCGAGAATTTGTTTGGCAGTACAAATCATGAGTGCCACCCAGGAATGCGAAACTTAATCATCATGCTCTTAAGTCAAAGATCACCACTGTATGCATGCATGTATGTATGCATGCATGTACGAAGGAGAATTGGTTAATTTGACTTAAGAGCATGATGATTAAGTTTCGCATTCCTGGGTGGCACTCATGATTTGTACTGCCAAACAAATTCTCGAGAAGTTGTCCTAAATCTTCAATATCCTTCCTCAGAAATGAAAAATTGTGACTCCTAGTTGCACTATCAAGTTTCAAATGTCCGTTGCAAATGACAAAATTTTGTCTTTTATGTAACCCTCCATGGCTACCAACAATGCTTTGAACAGAAACCACAGCCTCTATCAGTTCCCTAAAAAATAGTAATAAAAAAAAGGCCGATTTTTTTTATAAAATACTTAACATTTTATAAAATATCACAATACTCCTACAAACCACAGCTCAGCTCGTAACATTTTATAAAATTATAGGTCTAATTAATAGCACGAAATATCACAATACTTACTTTATGAAAAATTTGGTCATGTGGTTCTCGCAGAAAAGTTCTTCATAACCTTCATACACGAAATAGTTTATCCATTGCTCTTTATGGATAAGAAGTGGCTTGAGGATATTTGGTAATCCACACAATGAGTTCTTAGTAAACAGAAACGAAGCCCTCAAGTTTAGTGAATAGCAAGTTGGGGTCGCTTTGACTGTTACTTGACCAAATTGGTCACTATTGCATTGGAAAGTTGTTACACCTTCATGGAAGAGTAGGACTGTTGGATCCCCAATGATCCTTATCTTGGAATTCAAAGAACTTGGTAGTGAAGCGATAAGAGGAATGTTGTACGACATTGCTAGAACAGAAAAGAACGGATGACTAGCGAGGTAGAGAAGAAAGATACGGAGTATCTTTTTTTTTTTGGCTAAAGAGAAGAAAGATATTGATGAACTGCAAGGGGTTTAATGCACCAAACCCATGTGATATGAAAATTCAGCGTTTTGGCCCCCTGTGATTTAAAAAATGCGTCAAATCCTCCTGTGTTTTAATTAGTTATGCGCAAAATCTCTTTTGTAAACAATTTCAATCGTCAAATAAAAGAAAAAGTTATTTTCAAATCGTTAAATTTATGCAAAAAAAGGATTCTGTGCATGATTAATTAAAACACAAGGGAGTTCACGCATTTTTCAAATCAAGAGCTAATGCGTTGACTTTCTATATCACGAGAGGGTTCAGTGCATTAAACCCACAATAGAAGTAATAAATATAGTATTTCCTCCGTCCCAAAATGATAGTCCCGTATTTCTTTTCTAAGTCATCCCAAATTGATAGTCTCGTTTCTTCTTTTGAAAAAAAAGATGTGATCCACATCATTTCACATTTTCTACTCAAATCTCAACCACAACTTTTACCTTTTCAACCCTTCCTTAATTTTTGAATCAAAAAGAAATGGGACTCTCATTTTCAAAAGGAAATAGTAATAATTACGGAGTACTTTACTAGGGGGAATGATCACGAAAATGAAATGTCATACCAATATTTATGATATTGTAAATGTCAGACCCGTATTTATGGTATTGTAAATGTCACCCTTCAATTGTCTAAACTGTTGTAAATGTGGTCCTTTAAGAGGTGAAATGTACTCTCGCAAGCATTGTATATTTCACTCCTAAAAGGACCACATTTATAGCATTTAGGACAATTGAGGGACGACGGGTTCGACATTTCATTTTCTTGACTAAAAGTTTGATTTTCCCATTTTATTATCTACATTAATTATTGCTGCCGAGTGCTCAAGGTGGGCCAGGAAGAGCATATCTACAACAATTATTGCTGCCGATGCTATGCTCAAGGTGGGCCAGGAGGAGCATATCTAACAACAATTATTGCTGCCGATGCTGTGCTCAAGGTGGGCCAGGAGGAGCATATCTAACAACAATTATTGCTGCCGATGTTGTGCTCAAGGTGGGCCAGGAGGAGCATATATCATTGTTGTTTACTTCTTTTAAAGAAATATATCCAACCAGCTACAACTTAGATGGTCCGCATACCTTTTATTTCAAAGATGTACGGAGTACTCTTTAATGACTTAGATTATTACAGGTATAATTGTTAGTTAACCTTGTTTGTTTTTGTTTTTGTAACAAAAAATCTAGATTATGGGTTAATCTCACTTAACTTCCGAGAAACTAGAAACATCTGAAATTAAAGAACCTTCAAAACGGAGGTTTTGGAGGTTAAGTTCTCGGTTAACATAGGGAGTATTTGTGATTGCTTCAACTTTAAAAAAGTGATTTTTTAAAGTGATTATGGGAAAAGTGATTAATAGTAAAAGTTGATAGTGTTTGAAAAAAAAGTGATTCTGAAAAAGTAAAAGTTTGTAGTGTTTGATAAAATAAGTACTTTTTGTGTAATAGAAAAAGTAAAAACCAGTTTAAAGCACCCTTCTACCTACTTCCAGCTTTTAGCTTTTAAGTGATTAATTTAAGGAGAAACTGTCATTTGAAAACACTCTTTTCAGCTTTTTTTAAGCCAAAAGCTGAAAAACGCTTTTTTAACCTATGGAGGACGGTTGGTCGTTCCGTTTCTTGCGCCGTCGGGGACGTCTCGAACGGAGGGTGTATTTCCCCAAATATGCAGTCGAGCCATTGGAAGTCAAAGATGAAGGGCGTTGGTACGGGCCAATAAGGGGGCTGGGGCCACTAAGCAACTGGGGCCGAATTAAGGTCCATAAACTTTTGGAGGCCGCTGCCCCTATAGTAAGGGGGCTGCTTCAGGACTATTAGCTGGCCTGGCAGATGATACTCAGACTATTTCAGCCAAGTAACGTTATTCTTTCACCATCTACTTCAATTGTTTAGTGTTTGTGGCTATTATTGCTTCATCACCATTGTTAATTAGGGGTTAGAATCATCCCGAACTTAATAAATACGGAGCAAGGCTCGGGTGATGAGTTCACCTCCATTTAAAATTAAATGATTGGTTTAGAGGGCCGACCGGCCAAACCACGATCGGCTTAAAGAAAGCGATCGGAGTGCCCTCGAATAGTATTATTCTGACAACGCACCAAGTTCGTGCATTAGAGTATTCGTTGATTGATTAAATAGTATTCTTGCTATTAATCGCACAATGCCATTGTTTATTAGGAATTAAGATGCCCGAACAGAATTATGCCGAATGATCGAGAATTAATAAGATCACCGACATTTTGATTAAATGCTTGGTTTGACTGGCGTGTCGGTCCATTCCCGATCAGCCCAAATTAGCTAAAGCGTCTCACAAGGGCGTAGCCCAATGACGTATCTCTCTATATACAAACCACCGTGGGAACCATGGCCAAAGTCCCGTCCAAAAATGTCATAGTCACGTACGGTCAAAAAATTGTTTTGCTATGCTGTTAAAAAGATAGATCAAAGCTGTTTAATGTGAAGACTGATTGACTAGCTAGATGGAGAACTGTACACAACATTTATTGCGCACGGAGTAAAGTAGTTGTGTTTGACAGGTAACAATAGAAAGGCTATTCGGATAGCTTGAAAGAAGAAAAGGTGTGAGACTACACCCATTTACCCCTTGGGTTTTTGAATTTCTATTGTACAGGTACGGAGTATTTTGCTTTTAAAAAAAATTAAGCCACTTATCTATGTATGTGGTTCCCCTTCCCATTATAATCAACCTATTTGCATCCAATTTTTTCAGTTGAGGGAGCTCTAGCGAATCAAGGGAAATCTGTCATGCGTGCCAGGTCGGATGGTTGTTTAGTTTAATGTGTTGGGCTGGGTCGGATGTAAAATGGGCAGTATAAAAATGGAGATGATCCGATTTTAGCATATCTATTGGCCTGTACATAGTGATAGTTGTTATTATTATAATAATTAGGAAAAATTGACAAGAATAATCCCACCTTTCACTGGTCTTCTCATAATAATCTCACCTTTAAATAATCTCACCTTTGCACCTCATCTTCTTTCATCGGACCCTAACCATGTTTTTTACTCTTTCTTTGAAAATTATACAAATAATCTCACCTTTCACTTTTTAATAATATCCTTATAAATGTGAGATTATTTATATAAGATTTTTAAAAAAGGTAAAAAACTTGGTCAAGGTCCAATGAAAGAAGATAAGGTGCAAAGGTGGGATTATTTTGGGATTATTTAAATGTGGGATTATTATGAGAAGACCAGTGAAAGGTGAGATTATTCTTGTCAATTTTTCCTAATAATTATACAAGTAATTTTTATTGAGTTAGTTAATACGGAGTAGTTAAGTTTATAACATCAATAATTTAAAATGTTTTGTATTATTATTATCATCAAAATTATTATTACGGTATTACTATTAAAGAACTTATCTCATCAGTTCAGTCAAACGCGGAGTCCGTTACAGCCAAGCCCGTGTCAAGTGTTTCTGCAAAAATCATAGAGTTTATCCCACCATGCTTGAAAAACCTGCAAAAAAAGGTTATTAAACCCTCATAGAGTTTCTGCAAAATGGCATGAGAAAAAATTTCTTTGGGATGGACTGGCGGGGGCACTATGTAGAAAACAATAAGGTATTGGTCATCTAACTTAGTAAACACATTACTCCGTATTACTGTAAACATAGGGTAACAAAACCAAGATATGGAACAGCAAAATAAATGTTTCTATATTTAAACAAATACTGTAAACATATTATTACTTGACATCCTAACACCAAAGAGTCATAGCTACTCTTTAGTTATATAGACATGAGACATTCAACTCTATCATTTACATACAACAGGAAAAAGTCCTAGCAATACCTTTCACTGGAACTACAGACAAGTACAGAAGAGATACTTCAGAACCAAAACTATTATGTGGAAAATGGAAAGCATTTACAGAGGCATAAATTAATGTCAAGCTGCCTCATCCATTGGCCCATGTATCAGAACATTACACCAAAATCTAAATTGCCAAGTGCATCTTTTAATAATAACCAAAGTGATCTGTTTAACTTCAAAAACAACAGAACAAATAATCTGGAAATTTTTCAAGTAATAGATCAGAAGATGAATATCAACACAAAAAAAGTTCAAAATAAAAAACAAAGCATTCCCTATAACAAATTCTCTGAACTATTTTAAGAAGTGTTAGAAAAACATATTAATTATTGAGGTAACCCCAATTTTATATAAATCTCTAAGTATAGACACAGCTGATCATGAATTCATTGAAATTATAATGATGAAACACAATAGATAACTTATAGGGAAAATTAATACATAAGGTAATTCGAATGTAATCGGAGTTTGTAGGCTGCTTAAAGTGACCCTTAGTATTGATTTGGTGAAAACCATACTTGCTCAACTAAATTTGCTTACCAAACTAAACTTTCTCTAAAGATTTAGCCACACTAATGAAATTAAGATGTCAAGAGATATGGTCCGAAAATCAGATAATTACAAATTCAGAGTTTAATCCTAGTACTTGAAGAGTCAGTAGAACTACCTGCATGATACAATGGAAAGAATAACATTGTCATAAGAACTAAAAATAAAAATAAAAGTATTCCGTGCTAGAGAAGGACACTTTTATCATCAATATTGCACACATGTGTGAAGCACAAGGAAATACTCCAAGCAAGGTAGTCATGGAATCTTAACATGAACAACACACACCTAGGTCAAGTGCAATAGAACACTCAAAGTAATATAGGGAAAACCCAAAATCGAAAATCTACTCAAATAGGAAGCGGAAACATGCAGGTGTGAGGCATTGATGGCTTCGAACTGCGAGAGCTATTTGCTCTTCCATTGCGGCTGAGAGAGGCAGACAAAGCTTGTCGATCTCTTCAATTGCAGCAACGATTGCGATTTGAATGTGGATCGGAGTATGGAATACGGAAGAAGAAGAAGAAATCTTCCAGGGAATTGGAGTGTGCGTCCGGCTGAATAAGAGAGGAGAAGGCAGAGGAATAGGAGCTTAGCATTAGATTTCTGGCGAAGATAAGAGATCTGATACACCAAATCGGTGAGAAGGAGATAACAGGAGATATTTCTGGCGAAGAAGACAAGGAGAAGGTTTAGTCAAAAAGCTAAGGTGAAGGGGAGAAATGCAGCAGAAATTACATTTTAGCCCTAAGCACTAGGTGGGAGAATTTTCTCTCTCCAGTGTCAAGTGTTTCTGCAAAAATCATAGAGTTTATCCCACCATGCATTGAAAAACCTGCAAAAAAAGGTTATTAAACCCTCATAGAGTTTCTGCAATATGGCATGAGAAAAAATTTCTTTGGGATGGACTGGCGGGGGCACTATGTAGAAAACAATAAGGTATTGGTCATCTAACTTAGTAAACATATTACTCCGTATTACTGTAAAAATAGGGTAACAAAACCAAGATATGGAACAGCAAAATAAATGTTTCTATATTTAAACAAATATTGTAAACATATTATTACTTGACATCCTAACACCAAAGAGTCATAGCTACTCTTTAGTTATATAGACATGAGACATTCAACTCTATCATCTTTTATTATACAAAAGCAAAAGGAAAAAGGAACAGTGTTCCCGCCCAAAATTTTGGGTAAAAAACGGGTCGGGTAAATAGTGACGGATCTTGGTGGATTGCTGCGCAGAAGGACAACTCATTTAATGTTACATCGATGAGTACAGCTCATTTAGTATTTTGAGGTCGGTTCAAGAGAATAGATTAATAGTTGATTGGACTGCTTGGTACTTGATTTCAAATTTTAAATACGTAGCGTGTAACGCACTCAAAGATTCAACGAACAAATGAATTGTTCATTGTTCATTGAATAATAAGATGGATTGAGCAAGCATGTAAATAAACGAATCAGTTTTGAAGATTTTGAAGTACAACTTTTCAGATCTAGATATATTAAAATTAAATATGGGGATGCAATTAGCCGACCTACTGTGTGTTGTTGATTCAGACGTCATGTCATCAAAAACGTACACTCCATGCTATTAACCATTGTACAATTGTTCATAACTTTATACACAGTAACTATCAAAGGCACTCTGCTGATAGCAGTATAAATACAACCGATTCTCAAGAGCAACATACACAAAAGCGATTGCATAGAGAGTGTTGAAACTTGAAGGATCATTGAAGTTGCCGGCATTCCGAGGTTGGGGAAAACTAAAGGATTTCATGAGGTATATCATGTCCCTATTACCATTTCTTTTGGTTAAATATACAGATATACAGATATTCCATTTGTTTGTTGTGTACATCAAGGGGCTGAAGCAAACATTTACTAAATAGAGAGTTATGACGTTCAATGCATCAACGGCTAGCACACACTATGCATCACAGCGACGTGTATTAATCTGATTCTTAAAACCATCCAGATCTGTTAATTACTTATTGGCTTTTTTTGCAGGTTAACGTCTGATGTACCAAAAATCAGGAAACATAATTTCCACAACCAGCATCAAGAACAGAGGAATTATTTGAATCTAGGGTTTATAAACCGTAGTTTAAAAACCTAGGTTCAATATAAATATATGTGTGTTTGTATACAATATTTGAAGAATGACTATGGCTACCTAATGACGAAAACTTCAACAAAGGATGGTTATTGTTGAAGCAATACAGATTTAATCTACTACATAAATGTGTTAATCATGTGCATTTATAACAGAAGCTTTTATATAAAACATCTTTTAAAATGACGCACTAATTATTGTTTATAAATTTATTTATTTATTTATTTGTTTCAGGCTTTGTATAAGGGAAATTATAAAACTAGAACATTATATATTTGAAAATAAGACCAATATTAATATAATAGTTTTAATATGAGGGGTAGTTTGAGGTGCAACTGATATTAGATAAGTACTTTTCATATATCTACATTCTTTCATCCACCTACTATCTTTAGGTGGATGAAAGAATGTAGATATATGAAAAGTACTAAATAAATTAAGTCATACAAAGTACTTCAGGACAAAATTAAGATTTGATTTAGGAATGACCATATATTTAGCACACAAAAAATTATTTCATTGTTTCATATATTATTTGAGCACGACTAATTTGGGCCCTATATATGAAGAAGTTGGTAAAGGCCTTAATCAAGGATTACAAAGCAAGTACTAATAAGCATTCTCAAAAATACAATGATAGTTATTAAACAATAAAAGGAAGCCTATTTGAAATTGACAATTTACTCAAGAAAAATATCTAAAGGCATGTATATATTGACCATCGACTTATGAATGCTTTTTAAACAACTTTACCATCTTCACTATGTAAATAAATAAGTAGACTTAAGGGAATAAGCAAGAGCATCTCCCAAAAGAATTCAAGCTTATGTCCAGATTTGGGGACTTACATCTCTGGCAACAAATTTCTACTGAAAAGTATTCTGCCCAGTAGACTTGAGGTGGCTGGCAGGTAATCTGGCAGTTCCAATTTTAGGGACCAATGCCAATGACATTTTTATGATATGAGACATTACATGCAGCGGAAATCAAATATATAGATTTAAACAATCTACAACTAGAAGGAAAAACCAGATGTTTGATTAGGCAGAGATGTTTGATTAGGCAGAGTTTACCAAGCTTGCATCATTCGAATAATTTTTCATTTGAAACATGATAACATTGCACTACACACCATGTATGACCTCCACTTGCAGGCAAGATCTTGGAGTTACTGAACTTCAAAATTAAGATGACCAAAGAAATAAACACGAACTTATTACATACTTTGTATTAGACTGTTTGAAAGGAAAAATGACTTACACGTTACAAATGGATGTAGTACATATGTTATTTTTTTTTACCTTTGGTGGCCATCTTAGCTTCTAAATTGTCATAACCTTTGCCTGGCAGATCTGTTGGCAGATCTGTTAACATACAAGAAAGATGTTAATGTATTCAGTATAAGCACTATATTGAAAAAACACAGCATCCTTTAAATATACATTAAAGATGTAATATTATCTTGGGTATATATATATATATATATATATATATATATATATATATATATATGTATGTATGTATATATCAAAATTTAAACTTATCTTAGAAATTCAAGCGTTTTGTGCTTGAGTATGCATAACCCACAATTGGCCTAAGCTAAGTCAATATGTCCTAAATGAATACATGCATAAGAACACCCAATAGTAAGAAAAATTTTGATATATTTTGAAAACGACAATTGTAACATAACATCTTTTTTAAAACTGAAATGAAACATATGTCAGAAAACAGACAACAACGAATAGAGTTTGAAATAATATTGGATTTAAAGTCTACGTTCATATTTGAATAATAAGATAACAAGATGTTTTTCAAAGTTTACAACTACATTTGAGAAGTATATGTTCAATATCAATGAACTTAAACCAGGAAAAATTAATACGGACTCTTTAAGACTGAAGTAAAAAGGAAATCCAAGAGTAGATTAGCCTAAATTTGAGTATTTATTTCAAAAAAAACACCCAAAAATTGTAAATAAGGACCGAATCGCACCTTTAGAGAATATTCCACCCGTTTAGCCTCTTTAGATTAGCATCCTCCCCGCATTGCCGCTTATCTAAGCATCTTCATCGCACCGCCGCTTCTCCCAGCATCGTCGACACTAGGACACTCAACGAACGGCAGATTGGGGTGCTAGAGTCGGACAAAAGTTTAAGATGGGAGGAGTATTTCGGTGGTGTACGTAGAGGTGATTGCCGACACCGATGGTGTTGGGGGAGAACGCGTGGAGGCGCAGCTTTGATATGGTTTGCCTAGACCTAGCTGAAAGCAACCACGTATAAACGGGCTGAGTGGGCTGCTTCTTTGATACTCCGTAGATCAGATACAAAATTCATACTCCGTATTTAGTAGCCCATATCACAAATTTATGGTTTGGCAGTCCAAAATAAGAATTTATTATTTTTAATGGATTGATCACTTGGCCGCATCTTAATTAAATCAAAACTATGTAATGAAACTTCATAATTACGCTGATCAAATACCCTAATTCAGAAAACATGAGTAAATTGGAAAATTGACACGGAGTATAAGTGTATAACGATGAGGATAACATTAAACGGTTAACGTGATACCATAAGAAAAATTTGAAAAGTTTATTCAAATTATTACCTATTTTGTCATTCAAAAATAATAAGCCCAGTATAATTAAAAAAAATCACTCCGTATGATTTTGATGAAGGATCGAATTAGTTTTTTTTGTAGAATAGGATTCAAATGAGTGTTTTAAGTGGGATTCAAATAAGTAGAACTAGGCGTATTACATTATGAATTCGATCAATAAGTAGAACTAGGCGTATTTCATTTGTAGAATAGGATTCAAATGAGTGTTTTACGTACAAAATAGACTATGTTGTTATTTTGTTAATAGGAATTTAATCAATATAAGACCTCAATGATAAACAAAACATTAATTCGAGACTTAAAAATGAAAAGGCCCGAAATGAAAGGTATTATTGATACAAGGCATGAATGGTTGAAAACTATCGATATTGATCAAACCAGTACACATTAAACTATATTAGACCAGATCAGAAAATCTAGACTCCAATTAAAAACATGCAATAGTATTGACAATATAAAAACATTCTAAAATGCGAATAGTTATGATTTTAACTTTTAAATAGTATTGAATTGATAAGTTAAGCCAGTTTCGTTCAAAAAAAATAGTATTGAACAACAACTTGACTTAGCACAATTGTATGAAGTGAAACATTAAACGCTGAAACAATGTCACATTAAAAGGATAATAATTAATTACAGAAATGTGCAGGTTGCGTTGAGTGTGTAAACATACTAGAAACGACCGTTTTAAAAGCCTGTTTGGTGATTCTGTATTTTGACTTATCAACCGACTTTTTAACCAAACCCGTAACTTTTGACTTTGCACGCTGAATTGTGCAATAATAAGGAGAAGTAATGTTGAAGTTACTTTTCAAACTGTATTGACATGAGTTACTGTAAATGGTCATTTTAGCTAATTTTTCATATAATTTTTTCCTTATTTTATTAGTAAAATATATTTTAAATATAATTTGTTTCATAAATCAACATAATCAGTTAATACAACCACTTCAGCCAGAACTTCATAAGTTTCATCAGAAGATTCAGCCAATTTTAGTGTTACTAAACGGACTCTGGATAATGAGATAATCAAAATCATGAGTGTTGTTTTAAAATGAGTATTCAAGTTTGAGTATTCTTCTATTTTGCTACATATTTGACTTTTAGTAAAATAATTATTAGTAAAATATATATTAAATATAATTTGTTTCATAAATCAACATAATCAGTTAATACAACCACTTCAGTCAGAACTTCATAAGTTTCATCAGAATCAGTCGATTCAGCCAATTTTAGTGTTACCAAACGGACTCTGGATAATGAGATAATCAAAATCATGAGTGTTGTTTTAAAATGAGTATTCAAGTTTGAGTATTCTTCTATTTTGCTACATATTTGACTTTTAGTAAAATAATAAATAAATATATTGTAGAATTATTATTTCATTTCTTAATATATATGCACCACTCCACATAATAATTGGTTTGTACCCTAACTTATATATCTTTCATAATTATATTTATTGACAATGTGCATCGATTCTTCCCATTTTTTATAATCTTTTGATATGCATTATTCTTTATTTTCTTTTAGAATGTTCATGCATTCTAATTTTTTAAACGTATTAATACTGTATTATTTTACATTCAATAATATATAATTTTTACTAAATTATGCCCCGTGCATCGCACGGGTGTAAATCTAGTTTACATACAACAGGAAAAAGTCCTAGCAATACCTTTCACTGAAAAAGTCCTACTTTTGTTTTAAAATCTACAAAATAAACGCCACAAAGAAATGCAAAACAGAGAACAAAAAAACTGCTTTGTTTTGCCTTTATTTATTCCTCTTTCCATGATTAAGTGGATTAACTAATAAGCCCAATATAAACCCACAGTGGATGAGCAATTCAAACTCACAGTAGAAAAAGAAAGTCAACTCCAAAGTCATAAGCTCTCTATTTGATGGAAGATCTCAGCTACCTTCTTTTGAAGTCCCTTTCCATTCTAGCTCCAAAGCAATCTTAAATAGTTTGCATCCCCTAATGTATGGTTTAGTTTCAAAAGCGATCCCTATCAAAATTCTTCTAACCTGAAAAAAACAAACTAATATGGTGTGAGTAAGACAATTAAACCAAAACTGTTCACCAAGCCATTATATTGATAAAATTAAATATACTATTTCCCAACTCAAAGTGGATTCATCATAGTTACTTTTCAATATTTTCAAAACATATTCAACAATTCATTTTATTATTAATAATGATCTCCCAAGTGATAGAATAAGCCTCTTGGATACGTAAAAGATAGGCTGCCTATGTAGATGCACCAACACCAATGTTTTCTTCCTCATGTGCTTATTTCTTTTCATTTATGTTCTCCAAGACTTGAGTAAAGAAGATAAAAGAGACTAACTGGATTCCAAGATGCCACTTCCGGCTGGGCGAGAAGATAGATGCCAAATTCAGAAACAACTAATTTATACCTTCACCTTAATCCTATGTAGATGCACCAATACCAATGTTTTCTTCCTCGTTTGCTTCTTTCTTTTCATTTATGTTCTCTAAGAATTGAGTAAAGAAGATAATGGAAACTAACTTTCAAGATGCCACTTTCGGCTGGGAGAGAAGATAGATGCCAATTTCAGAAAAAAATTAATTTACACCTTCACCTTAATTCCAAATATATTGGGGTCAAAGCAGGAACTTTATAGTGTCAAACTGCCACCAATATCAAGAGTGTATTTCCAATCAAACTAAGTTTCCAATCAGACTAAATCAATTCAAAGATTATAAAATACCATTGAAACTCAAGCTTAAAGAAAATCAACAAATCAATGGATTTGTGTAAATTTACATGTGTCGTAAAACTAAAAATAAATAATTACATATTTATGACTAAAATACATTGGGGTCAAAGCAGGAACTTTATAGTGTTAAACTGCCAATTAACTGTCTAGGATCAGTTTCATGATCCACTCATGCAAGAAAGCATGACTAACATTTAAAATAAATTTAAAGCATAAATAATTACATATTTATGACTAAGATAAAGGTTCTTAAAAAAGAAATTGCTCAATATAGGCAGAAATATACACAAAGTTCAAAAATACGACTAAATATGTTTTATTTCCCAAACGTGACTTATTTAGTCCTATTAAAAGGATAACCTGATAAAAACTTCCAAAGTAGGAATGGATGAGTTTTATTTTGGGAATAAAACATTGATTGTCCTATTTATGAACTTTATCCATGTTTTAGTCTTATTTAGGGAACTTTGTTTTTTTGACCTCCTAGGTGTAGTGGCTATTGTAGTAGCTTTCATCATAGTAACTTATGTTCAATTTTTACATTTAAGTGACCATAAGACTATGATAGTAACTATTAGTCATATAGTAATTATTCAACAAACCATTTAGTATTTAGTGTAAATGTGAACTAATCTACTTTAGTTTAATTAGATAGAAAAAATCAGAACTATCAGATTTAGTAACAACCTAATATGAGTAATTCAGTGCAAATATAGTTTCTAATGTAGGATTAGTCATATTAGTCATATAGTAACTATACAACAAATCATTTAGTATTTAGGGTAAATAAGCACTAATATACTTTAGTTAAATTAATCTATTTAGTTTAACTATCAGATTTAGTAATAGGAAACTAATGTAGATATACTACTAAAATTATTAATGAAAAGATCATCACTTGAAGAAATGAAAATAATTTGTGCTCACAATTTTTACTGGGAATTCATTAAAGACTGATATATAAAAACTAATACTACTGGTTTATCTAGAGTGGGAGATTTAATAAAATTAAGACTAACATTAACAATTTAGATCAGAGTGGAGAGCTTAGTAGTTTACCATACAAAATGCTCTACCCTGCCTTCTTCATTAGGAAAATATAAGAGGATCAAATTAGAGAACAAATGTATCATCTAAACTGAATCGATGTAGTTGATTGATCCAAATACAATTTAGACCTATTCACTCTATTTACAGAATCACAGTAGAAGATAGAAAAATTGAAACCAAATTAAAGTGGAACAACCTAATATGAGTACTTCAGTGCAAATAGAATGCAGGATTGTGGTTTAAACTGAATGATAACCAGATTTCAAGCTTTGAAACAAAGTCAGAAACAAAAAGCCATTGACATATGCAGAAGGTGCATGGAAATTACACAAAGAGTGACTAAGAAACTAATAAAGAAATAAAATTCATTTTATTAAGCAAGAGTGTGAGACTAAGCAGATCATAAATTCACCTTTGGTATAGCATTTGGAAGAAAACATTGCAGAAGGTGCAACTTCTTTGCTTTAATGCTTGGATTGTTTACTGTGAGCTTATGATATCTCCAGCAGAGAAGAAGCAAATGTGTACTGTATGTGGATCATGAGCATCCCTCCCCTCCTCTATGATACCTTCACTTTATTTACATTCCTCCCCGGCTCCCCCTCATTCCAAACACACTGTCAGAGATTACCTCCATCTACAGTGAGTAGTCTTTGATTAGTCGGATGCGAAAGAGAGATGACACATATAACGGATCAGTGAAGTGCCTGAATCCTGCAATTCATATTAAATGCAATGTGTGCTACTTGTTATGTTAAGAAACTCTAAAGCAATTCAGATAACATAAGCCAAGGAAAATAACAAACTAACCAAGTAATTTTTAAAAAAATTAACAAAAATCTAAGTCTAAAAGGAATCAAATTACCTTTGTTATGTCATTTCTTAAGAATGGGAAATAAATATGTATAACCATCCACTTACGAACAGGCTGCAATAATAAATAAACTGCAATAAAGAACCATCAATATATAACAAAGACACACTCTTATCCAATAGGGAGTCAAATTTTTATATCAATTCATTATTTTGTGGGATTGTTAGTGCAGGTGAACCAATCAAAGTATTCAAAATTTAAGCATTTGATAAATCAGTAAATAGAAACAAAGAAAATAGCCTAAGCATTTTATCAAACATGTTACATGCAAACTATAAGCCACACATGTGGAAGTGTACATAGAGATGGTAAAAAACCCTTCACAACAAAATAGTTTGGATATGGCAAAACCGAAACCAACGAAGTACCTCCAATGGATATCAAGGCACCAAAATGGAATCCAAAATTTAAAAGAAGAAGAAAGATTATTAAGAGGAATAACTATTTGAATCGAGTAATCGACTATAGAGAGGATCAGAGGAACCCAGTCTACTACACAATCTACCAACTCAAACATTAAATAAAAAAATCAATTACATGAGAAAGATTGATAAAAGGAATCACTACCCAAAATGAAGTGTTCCAGTTCCCAAAAGGAATCAATTACATCAGTTCCTCATTTATTTAGATTCAAAACCATTCTCCCTTAGAAACAAGAGTATCTCCTGGTTTGCAGTCTTGCATGCCAAACCTTTTGAGAACCTTATCGATATAGCTTTTTTGTGAGAGTCTAAGAACGCCTTTGGAGCGATCTCGGTGTATTTGAATTCCTAATACATAAGAAGCCTCACCAAGGTCTTTCATTTCAAAATTCTTTGAAAGAAATTTCTTAGTTTCGTGCAATAAGCCTATATCATTGCTAGCAAGCAATATGTCATCAACATACAAAACCAGGAAAATATGTTTACTCCCACTAAACTTGTGGTATATACAGTCATCACTGACATTTGGTTGAAAACCAAAAGATATGATTACTTTATGAAATTTGTGATACTACTGATGAGAAGCAGCCTCCTTAAGCCCATAGATGGATTTCTTTAATTTGCAAACCATTTTCTTTGGATCTCCCGAAACAAAGTTTCTGGCTGCTCCATATAGATTGATTCCTCAATGTCACCATTGAAAAATGCAGTTTTCACATCCATCATTGAACGACGCTCTGGAGAAACTAGGCGATTACGTGAATGTCGGAGAAACCCATCGGAGAGGGGGCATCCCCGCCCTCTCCACCGGAAACCAAAGTCTGGGGAGGGGGGTCCTTTGCTGCTGTGGTGTCTGGAGAACAAGCTCCTTCTTTGACGAAAAAAGTGCCCTCGCATTACAGGGGAGTTCCCTCGGTCGTCTTTCCTGGTGTTGATGTGCAAACTCTTGCTGCCAGGCATACAAGGGCCTTGGTAGGTTATTGTTTAAGGGAAGGCTTGCTATGAATACTTTACGTAAGGCTTTTGAGATGATAGGCTTTAAAGGCAAATTTCAGCTGGGAATTATAGAGAAGAAACATGTGATTATTAGATTCGAGTTGGAAGATGATTATCTCCGATGCTGGAAAAGGCACGTTTGAGATATTTTTGGTAATGCTATGCGTGTTACCAAATGGACTCCGGAGTTCCAACCTAATGTGGAATCACCGGTGGTTCCAATTTGGTCAAGCCTGGAATCATTACCGCTTCATCTTCATGATCAAAGGGCCGTATTCGATATTGCTCGTTTAGTGGGACGTCCTCTTAAAATTGATGCTGCTACAACATCTTTTTCTAGGCCTTCGGTTGTTAGAGTATGTGTTGAGGTGGATCTATCAAAAGAAATGCCTAATAAGGTAAGGATACAATGTGGCTCAAATGGTTTTTTCCAATCAATTGTCTATGAAAACAGACCCCTGTATTGTGGTCATTGTTTACATTTGGGACATTCAATACATGCATGTCCAAAAAAGACTATTGCCAAGACCTCTAAGGGCAATGTATTGGATGTTGTGCCTAAAGGCAATGATTCAGGGAATTTGTAGAGGTCTGACAAATGGGTTGGTAAACCCATTGCTCTGAAGATTAATGAAAAGGTTACTACAACGATTACAGACAGGGAGAAAGGGGAAGGGAACAACTGTGATATTAAAATAACATCCAATGATGATAAGGAGAAAGGATTGCTTGAATCCCAACCTGTTCTTCAGGAGATTGTGGATGCTATTCCAACAACATCTAAGGCAATTGCAGTGGCAGATATCCCATCAACATCTAAGGCAGTTCAAGAAAGGGTGGAGGTAGACACTGATACTGACATTGAGGAGGTATACACGGAGACCCTAGATCCAAGTATTGAGCCAGCAACTCCAGGATAGGATCTAGACTTTCAAATGCCTGCATATCAAAAGAATGAGTCGGTTATTGAAGGAATATCTTCTTCTGAGATCTATCAATTTGATGCAGCAGGGGATGATTACAATATATTGCAGATTATAAAAAATAAAAATTATTATCCATCCTTAGCAGCAAAGGGATACTCACCTGAAGGTGATGGCTGTTTTATTGATAACATTCAAAGGTGGAAAGAAGGGCAAACTCAACTTACCTGCAAAGTTAATGCAATGCTTCAGAGAATTCCTTAGCAACTTGATGAGTCAGAGCTTCTAGATAATCTAGATTCACAGAATAAATTACAAGGTGAGGGATTTATTACTGTATCTAGGAGGAAAAGAAAAAAGCAACCTAGGGAGGTAGTTCCGGTCACTCCTAGAATCACTAGGAATGTAGCAAAAAAGTTGGCTCAAGCTTTTCTTGCTATTCCTTAATGAATTGCATCTTATGGAATGTTCGTGGTCTTGTTTTTTCCTCTCCAAGACTACGTAAATTAATTAGACAGTGGAGTATTAATTTGTTGATTGCTATTAAACCTATTGTTTCTTCCAATAAAATTGCTGGGATTGCTATGGAACTCGGGCTAAACTCTTCTTTTTGCTGCAATGATAACAAAATATGGCTTTTTTGGGATAAGTCTAAGATTGATGTGTCAGAAATTTCAACTGGAAATCAGTTTATACATATGAAAATCTATTCTGGATCTTTATCCTATTGGTTTACTTCAATCTATAGTAGTCATAGCTACATAGAAAGAAGAAACCTCCGGAGTTTTTTTGGAAGGATGGTCTGCTAGTAATAAACATCCTTGGGTTGTGGGAGGAGACTTCAATGCTATTGCTGATCAGAGGGAACATAAAGGCTAGGCTATGCCTATGCTAACCAGTATGACTGATTTCAAGGATTGATTGGCTAATTGTGAGCTGATTGATTTACCTTTTCAAGGATCTCCCTTTACTTGGACTGGGGTTAAAGCCAATGGTAGGGTCTGGAGAAGATTGGATAGAGTATTGTTTAATCCAACTTTCTTGGGGCTGTATGATACAATTCAGATTAAACATCTCAACAAGACCTCCTCAGATCACTCCCCTGTCCTGTTGCAATGTAAGAATCAATTAGTTCCTGGTCCAAAGCCATTCAAATTCCAAAATATGTGGATTTCTCATTCCACATTCTTAGATACAGTCAAAACAGCTTGGGAGTCATATTCAACAACTGGAGGGATGAGAGGACTTTACAACAAACTCCAATCTTTAAAGCAGGCACTCAAAGTGTGGAATAAAAGCACCTTTAGGGATATTTTTTCAGATATTGGCTCCGTTTGGAAACCAGCGGATTGCTCCAAACCGCCAATTATTTTACAAAGAAAACGCTACATTTTGTAGCGGGTTGGTTGCCATCCGCCAACAAACAAACGGCCCCATTAGCAAACTGGAGGGAGATGTTGCTAATGCAGAAATTATGTTTGAGACTAATCCCTCTGACATTAATAAGGAGGATTGGTCTTTCAAACAGGCGCTCTTACTTAGTAAATATAAACAGGAAAATGAGTTTTGGAAGCAAAGAGGCCGTTTGAAATGGTTGAAAGAAAGAGATTCAAATACAAAATTTTCTCATGCCTATGTGAATATCAAAAGAAGGATGCAGTACTTATCTGCAATCAAAGACTCTGCTGGGACTTTGTGTACTGAACCTGAAAGCATTGGCAAGGTTGCAGAAGGGTATTTCCAAGGAATCTTTGCTGAAGAAGAAGTTCAGGATGTTGATACTATTCTGCAATACATACCAAAATTAGTTGATAGTTATGACAATAATATGCTTATGTCATTACCTACACAGGAAGATGTTAAGCATGCTGTCTGGGGATTAGATAAAGACAGTGCAGCTGGGCCTGATGGGTACAATGGAGTCTTTTTTTAGAGAATGTTGGGACATTGTAGGGGCTGATGTTACTAAAGCTGTTCAAGACTTTTTTCAGGGAAATCACATTCCCAAGGCTATGGCTAGTTCCCTTATTGTCCTAATTCCTAAGAGAGATAAGATCTCTTCCTTCTCAGACTTCAGACCTATTTGCCTCTCTAATTTTGTGAGTAAAGTGTGCACAAAGATACTGGCTTCCAGACTTACTAATTTTCTCCCTAAATTGATTTCAACTGAGCAGGTAGGATTCATGAAGGGAAGGGATATTTTAGATCATATTCTTATTGCCCAAGAGATGATTAACTCTATTGACAAGAAGGTTAGGGGTATCAATATCATTTTCAAGTTAGATATGGCAAAGGCCTTTGATAGGTTATCTTGGAATTTCCTTCAAGCACTTCTATCAAAATTAGGGTTTTTTGAAAGATTCATCAATCTGGTGATGAACCATCTTAAGGCCACACATTTTTCTGTGCTTATCAATGGATCACCTATAGGTTTCTTCCAGCCCTATAGGGGAGTCAAGCAGGGAGATCCCCTATCCTTTTTTTTATTCTAGCAACAGAGGCCTTATCTAGAAGTTTGAAAAGTCTAGCCTCTTCCAAGAACATTAAGCCCTACTGGATTGGACAACAAGGTCAGTCAGTAACACATTTATGCTTTGCAGATGATATATTAATTTTTCTAAATGGGGAAGCTAGGTCTATTCAAAATTTTAACAGATTCCTGGCCTTATATCAAAGAGCTTCAGGCCAAGCTATTAATTTTGATAAAAGTAGTTTTGTGTGTGGGAAAACTTCCCTCGCAAGAATTAGGAAAATGGAGAGACTTTTGGGAATGACAAAAAGCAACTTGCCCATGAAATATCTTGGTTCAGCCCTGCATAAAGGAATTAAAAAGTTATTGTAGTGGTATTCTTCAAGCCTTTGATAAGAAACTTACTACATGGAAACATAAAAACCCGAGCTTTAGTGGAAGGTTGGTGCTAATTAAGCATGTTCTAAATACTCTTACTCTACATATATTAGCAGTTGATACCCTTCCTAAAGCAATCAGTAGGGGGCTGGAGAAAAGAATGGCACACTTTCTATGGGGATCTTCTGCTAATAAAGAAAAGTATCATTGGATTAAGTGGAAGGCCCTTTGTTTACCTTATGCAGAAGGTGGTCTGGGTATACGTTCCTTGGTTGATATTGAAAAGGCTTATTCACTTAAGCTATGGTGGAAATGGAGGAGTAATTCCTCTGACTGGGCCAAGTTCTGCCATTGCAGATATCCAAAGTGCACTAATATGGTTTCTAAGGTACAGACACAGCTATTTGGAAGAGAATTTGCCATGTTCATGAACTGGGGGAATCATTATGTGACCATAATCCAGAAGGAGAGATATTGTGGTTACCTGAAAGTAATGGCAAATTCACCTTATCCTCAGCATTTGAACAGGTTAGGAGAAGGAACAATGCTAGCTTTTCTTTTAGCAATGCCTGGAATAAACAACAACATCAACAAGTTCAGGTTTTTCAATGGAAGGTTCTCAATAAAATTCTACCATTTCCAGAGAATTTAAGCAGATTCAAGATGACAATTTTTCCATCAATGTGTCCTTTCTGTAAACAGGATTCAGAGTTTATGGACCATGTTATTCTTAATTGTTCTTTTTCTTGGAACATTTCGAAATATTTTCTGGGAATTCTAGAAATTCCAATTCCTATCAGGCCTATTACTCCGAGACAAATGTTCATCACTTGGTGGCTTGATGCAGGATCTAAGAAAATTTTGGATGTTTTCAAAAATAATATGGCAGGAGTAATTTCTTGGCACATTTGGAAGGTCTACTGTAAGATTCGATGGGGAGGGGAAAATGATTTCCCTCATTATCAAGGTATTATCCGGCTGATCAAGACTTTTACGCAGGGCTGGTCGGAGGCTAAGCTGGTAAAACTCAAATTAGGAAACCCTACTCCGATTCTCTTTGAAGAACATCTCTACCCCTATCGTTTAAAACCAGGAAGATGAAGGTCAGGGTCGTTAAGCGGAAGTTACCTGTTCTTGACTTCAAGCTGAATATTGACGCTTCATATACTTCAGCCTCAGCAGCAAGAGGAGCAGTGATATGGTCTCGTTCAGGTGACCTTGTAATGGCTCTTCACTTTCCTATTTCAGCGAACTCAGCGATGGAGGCGGAACTAAAAGTGGCTCATCAATCTGTTTCTTGGGCGATTGATAATGGGTACCATACATTTGAGGTTGACATTGATTCCAAAGTGGTGGTAGAAGAAATTTTGGAAGGTGTCTTGGGAGGAAGATGGAAATCGCTGGTTGGGGATCTAAGAAAATGGATGGTTGAGTATCACATTTCCTTCAGACATATACTTAGGGAGTGTTTGCAATTGCTTCAACTTTAAAGAAGTGATTTTTTAAAGTGATTTTGGGAAAAGTGATTAATAGTAAAAGTTGGTAGTGTTTGAGGAAAAAGTGATTCTGAAAAAGTAAAAGTTGGTAGTGTTTGGTAAAAGAGGTACTTTTTGTGTAATAGAAAAAGTGAAAAGCAGTTTAAAGCACCCTTCCACCTGCTTCCAGCTTTTAGCTTTTAAGTGATTAATTTAAGCAGAAGCTGTCATTTGAAAACACTCTTTTTAACTTTTTTGAAGCCAAAAGCTGAAAAGCACTTTTTTAATCAATCGCAAACACTCCCTTAGAGATATTAACTGGTCGGCGCATTATCTGTCTAAAATAGGGATAAAGACCAAAAATGACACTAACGTTTTTAGCGAATCTCGGATTAGACACTAACGTTTTAAGTAGACCAAATAAACACAAAATTATAGTTTTTGGGTCCAATTTGACCACCCTTTAACGGAGGCGTTAAAGGAACCTTCCTCCCCGTTAAATCTACAGTTCTTGATTCCCATACATGTCAGACAAGCTCTGAATTTTGGGTCTAATATTGGTAAATGTTGACAATGATCCCTTCATCTTTAGTAATCTGATAGAACTACCCAGGCAATTGAAGAATTCAACTAACATTTCATACCTGACATATAATTAGTAAAAATATCAATACATAGAACCAATACAGATATTAGAGAATATTACGAAATTTGTAGAATTGCAATTTGCAAACCAGAAATTATTCAGTAAAAAGAGACAGATCATGATAATAAATAGTGTCCGATAAACCGAAATAAAGACCAACCAGAAAAAACATTGCTGTATGGAAACATTGCTATACATAATCAACATTCTAATCTTTGGAACTGTAAGCACAACAATCCAGCAAAGATAGGTCAAGTTCTAAAATTGCTTACTTTTCTGGGAGCTTGGCTGAACTGTTTGGCTTCCTAGGCTTTGTAACAGAAGATTCAGGAAAAGAAACATCATGCTGTCCGGGGTGCCTCAAAATTTGATCGGCGAATGGATTGTCGTTATCAGATGGTAACGGATCTGAATTATGGAGCTTCTGAGCCACTTCTCTGACCTGTTTCACAGAGAAGGCGGCATTGCCTTTTTTGCTTTGCGGAGGAGCACTGATTGGCTTCTCGGGGGTCTTAGAAGTCAATGAATCCGCAACCGGCCGCGACGAATTCAGTGGCTTCGAAGTAGAGCCCAACAGCTTCTCCGATTTGAAGAAATCAAGCAGTGAAGGCTCTGTGGCTTCGATTGTTCCCGGCTTTAATCTGATGGGGAATTAACCTGGGAGAGTTAGTTTAAAGGGTGGTCAAAATGGACTCAAAAACTATAATTTTGTGTTTATTTGGTCTACTTAAAACGTTAGTGTCTAATTCGAGATTCGCTAAAAACCCTAGTGTCATTTTTGGTCTTTATCCCGTCTAAAATATACTCTGATGACTTTGGAGTTTTTTTCCGGATTAATGTTAATTAATTAATTAATTACTCACTCCGTCCCTAAATGTTGTTCCAATTGCGGTTTACGAGGTTGACCGACGATAAAGTTAAATGATCCCTGTGAAAATTCGGATTATTTTTAGTAAATAAAATTTACATATTTAGAAACTACATTAAACCCGCTACAAAGACTGCAAAAAATAATTCAACTTTTATAAAATTTTGATATAAAAAGTAAGAGATTAAGAGTGATTTAAGTTGACCAAGGAATAGTGAAATGGAACTTCTTTTAGGGACAGAGGGAGTATAAAACTATTTACCAATATACCGCTGGGCTTAACCCTGTTTGGGAAAAGTCGCCAAACCGTTTGGCGACTCTCTAATTCATATGGAGAAAATGCGTACAAGGGTGAAGGGAAGCAGTCCGCTGGGAGAGTAACACATATGTGAATAGGTGGAGCCAATTAAATAGAAATCCTCTGTTTTCTTTATATGGCTATAAGTTTCATATTTTTCTTCCAATTTTTTTAAAACATATACCAAATTTTATAACTTTTTGTGATCTTTCATATGACACCAATATGTAATATATAAAGTTTTAAAAAAATCTGAAGACCATATGGGGTGAAAAACAAATTGCAATTATGCACCGTTAATAAACTTAGAGCCCGTTTGGTAGCACGAAAATCAGCTGTTTTGGCTGATTCTGCGGAAATTTATGAAGTTCTGGCTGAAGCGGCTGCATTGGCTGATTCTGCTGATTTAAGAAACAATTATTTTTAAAATATATTTTACTAATAAAATAAAGAAAAAATTATATGTAAAATAGCTAAAATGGTCATCTACAGTAACTTCAGCCAATGCAGCCAGAAAAGTAACTTCAACCTTACTTTTTCTGCTTATTACACAATTCAGCGCGCGAAAGCAAAAGTTACGTGTTTGGTAAAAAAGTTGGCTGATAAGCCTGATAAGCCGAAAAACAGTGTTGCCAAACAGCCTCTTAATTCTCAACCAGTTTAAACCAAAATAATGTATTCACCATTTCAATTCAATTTTTCAATATATTTACCCAATTTAGTTTTTAGTTAAATTCTTACACTTTTTAGTCTACATCAACTTTGAGCCATTTTTTTTTTATGAAAATCTCAATTGAACCAACTCTTAGCCAACTTATTCTTTTACCCAACATAATCTTTATATGTACCCAACGTTATTCTTTTAGCCAACTTTTAGTCTACATGCAAAATTCTTTTTATTTTTTTAAAAATATTCTTTGTACCAGACATTTTAAGCAGGGGCAGAGCCAATACACTGGGCTGATACAAAAAATATTTTAAAAAAAGTACACAGAATTTTTTACACTAAAAATGTAGACATTTTTAAAATTTGGTTAGGCCAGGGTGAATAAACATTTTTAAAAAGTACACAGAATTTTGCATTGAAATGTTTTATATTTTGAGCTTAAAAATAGAGCGTAAAGAACCGTATGTGATAGAATCCTCAGATTTTCGTAAATTTTTTTGGCTAAAAGTTGATGTAGACTAAAAAGTGTAAGAATGTAATTAAAAACTATATTGGGTAAATATATTGAAAAATTGAATTGAAATGGTGAATACATAATTTTGGTTTAAACTGGTTGAGAATTAAGTTTATTGACGTTGCATAATTGCAATTAGTTTTTCACCCCATATGGTCTTCAGATTTTTTAAAACTTTATATATTACATATTGGTGTCATATGAAATATCACAAAAAGTTATAAAATTTGGTATATGTTTTAAAAAAATTGGAAGAAAAATATGAAACTTATAGCCATTTAAAGAAAATAGAGGATTTCTTTTTAATTGGCTCCACCTATTCACATACGTGTTACTCTCCCAGCGGACTGCTTCCCTTCACCCTTGAAAGCATTTTCTCCGTATGAATTAGAGAGTCGCCAAACGGTTTGGCGACTTATAAGCCGCCAAACGGTTTGGCGACTTTCCCCAATCAGGGTTAAGCCCAGCAGTATATTGGTAAATAGTTTTAACCCAACATTAATTCCGTAATTAATTAATTAATTAACATTAATCCGGAAAAAAACTCGATGACTTTGTTGTTTTTTACAATATCCAACAAGTACCAAATTAAATTAGACGCACTCTGATTGCAGATAAATTGGGCTTGAGCTACTTTAGAATTATTTAGTTCTGTTTCTTATCTGGTTTCTTTGTTGTTGCTTTTTTCTGATTGGGTTTGGTTTGGTCCCCCCAATCAATGTTTTGCTTTATTGTTTTTCTTTTTTTTTGTATTTCGAAAGGGAATGCCCTTTCTGAAGAGGTTTCGATTTAGCCCCCTCTTCGTTTGTATCCTTCTTTATTTTAATAAAATCTGGCAAATATTCCTCGACATTTGCCCCACTGATTTTGGTGGTTTGCCTTTCGGGTTTAAAAAAAAGTAATTTTCACATCCATCTGATGAAACTCAAGATCAAAATGTGCAACTAATGCCATTATTGTTCTAAAAGAGTCTTTCGAAGATACTGGCGAGAAAGTCTCTTTATAATCAACTCCTTTCTTTTGAGTGTAGCCTTTAGCAACAAGACGAGCTTTAAACCTTATAACCATTGCCTGATTGCCCTTTGAATCTCTCTTGATTTTTAATATTCATTTAAAACCAATGAGTTTAATACCTTTAGGTAAAGAGACTAGCTCCCAAACGTCATTGTCACTCATATACTTCATCTCATCTTTTTTTTTTTCATACTCTGTTCTTCGCATCTGCTGTTAGCATTTTGCCTGAAACTCGAACTCTTCCAGGTCTTTTTCTAACCTTCTTCGTTTGAATGAATTATGAGAGATGACAAATTGGAATCGATGTTTATACTAAATTCATCGGAAGAAGCCATCACTTGTGAGAATGAAATCAGCTCTTCTCTCTTGTTTTCTATTGTAATTACTCTTGTTCAGCCGGAATCAGCCCTGTCATCGTGAATCCTTTCCCGCTTGCAAGAGCTTACAATACTCAATGCCACTCCCCCCTCGCTCTCCTCCATGCCAAAGCTCACAAGTTGAAATTACCATAAAATCTATGGCTTCGGCTAGCTGCCTAGTGCCTACACAGCAAAACTTCTCCCCAATGGTCCGTGGGAAAAGCAATTCGTAGAATCTTAGACCATTGCTGGAATTCGAGACAGATTTGTCGATTTCTTGAATTGCATTTCGTTCAGTTTGATTGCTTTCCAGCCCATTATATTACTCGTGTGGTATGTAGTTTTACTCTATCTTTGGAGTACAAATAATGCAATGATATACTACTATAATACTAGTATGATTTTTTGTCCCAATTATTATTATTATTATTATTATTATTATTATTGATTATGTATTATTTTTGTTAGTATCCCAATATATGTTCATGTTTCTCATGACTTCATATCAGGTATGGACTCATGAATGGTAGTGGCAAGATGGTAAAAATATACA